ATTCTAAACATTATTTCACAATGCATTGTATTTATAAAAACACAAGGTAAGCATGTACATCTCAAATTCATTTTACATCCCAGCTTAGATGTTCAATCAATGTAATTAAACTATTACCAGATTGCATTATCTTATTTAGCTCTAGATTTGAGATCAAAAAGCAACTGCATTTCTTTTCACATAGCAACTAGTACTCCATATACTAAAACATGGCTATAGCAGCGGCTCAACTAAGCTGTTTAAAAATAAATTAGCAAACTATAAAAATAAACAGTCACATACATATGGAGTCAATTATGAATTAATTCTAAATTTTGTGCTGAAATACTGTCTATGACCTTATACATAAATAAGCATGATTAAAAAAACATAATATTGCAACAGACAGAAGGCCAGAGATTAAGTGTTCAATAAGCATAGCCAAATGCAAAATAAGGGATGAAAAGGAAGTATGTGCAGATGCAGGGTAGAGAGAAAAGCAAAGGTGGAAAATTAGACTCTTCGTAACAGGTGAAACGACTGACACTGAGTTTGTGAGTTGTGTTATTTGAAGCTGCAGGATGTCAGAACAAGGGGTGAAGAAAGGAGAAAGAAAACATCATTCAGTAATAAACTTGTTCTTATGCTTCCTTTGGTACCTTCATTCATCAAAATTTAGAATACTTTAGACAACATGCAAGCACAGCACTTCCTTGTTTAATAATTGTTTTAGTTTAAAATTGTCTATTTTCTGGCCTACACACACATCTACAACTCAATGGCACCTTAAAGCAGTTGCATCTGCTTTTTCTATATTCATGTGGAGGCCTAAAAAAAAGGTCAGCTGCTTTCATGAACAGCTGACAGAAATTAAGTTCATATAAAATCCAAAGCATTTTTCTGAATAATTTTTGAAATGTGGATAGTCGTGTTAATTTACGTGCTTAGGTACAGAGAAAACAAGAATAAAGGTCGCTACCAAGGGAGCTCAGATAGACCTGGAGCTGGCATTGGGCCAAATAGCAGCCCACTGTTGCTGGGCAGATCAAGAGCTTGCTCTATGTCGCCATCTGGAACCCATGCTATTGCAGGTAATTCCTCCAAAATCTGGCATTGCAGACTGCCCTGAGGCAGAAGGTTGCGAACCTGCATGCTCCTTGCCCTGGAGGCTCCTCTTTTTCTTATCAGCCTCCCTCTGGGCTTTCTGGATGGTCCTCTCTATGGCTTTGTGCCTCTCGTTCTGAGGCCTTAGAGGCTTTTTTAGGTGGCTTACTTGTTTGTGCCTGAGCCTTGCCACACCTTGAGGATCTTGACCAGAGGTGGGTTTCAGCAGGTTCTGACCAGTTCTGGAGAACCAGTAGCGGAAATTTTGAGTAGTTTGGAGAACTGGTAGTAAAAATTCTGACTGGCCCCGCCCCCATCTATTCTCTGCCTCCCAAGTCCCAGCTGATCCCTTCCCCTGCCACGCCCACCAAGTCATGTCACGCCCACCAAGCCAGACCCACAGAACCGGTAGTAAAAATATTTGAAACCCATCACTGGTCTTGACCCATAAGGTCCTGCCTCATGGTCACTATCCTGTCAGGAAGACCTGACCTTGAACTGGATCGGGTATGCCCAGGAAAGGCAGCGGCCACTTTGGAAACCCTGAAGAAGGATTCTAGGCCTGGTGACACATGCTATTGTCCCTGTCTGTGCCTGTAGCCATACTAAGCTCAAAGAGCCAAACGTACCAAATTGGGCCCCTTCTGTAGTGTGCCTCGGTTGTGGCTCCAAGAGGGATGGGCAGCCGAGGCTTCAATTCAAATCAATCCGCTAATAGTGACATTAAAGGGAAACAGGCCTTTAAGCCTCTGGGCCCAGCATCGCGGAGCTATGCTCGTGAACGCTGGCCCTGCACTCAATTATCAGAGCTCGGCTGTTCTGTAAAGACTGTACCTCAAGTCTCTTTGTTGGAGTAGTCTTACTGGCTATTCAAAATGGTGCCGATCTGCCACACCGCGTCCTCCAGGCTAGCACTATGGAACCAGGCTCATGGGCACTGCCTTCTGTTTTAGCTTCAAAATGTGCCGATCCGTCTTGCCGTGCCCTCCAGGCTAGCACTACGGAGCCATGCTCGTGGGTGCTGCCTTTGTGGAGCAAATGGGGCCAAATCCTCAGGTCCCTGATGGGTCAGCAGTTCGGGGCAACGCCCGTGAGCGCTGCCCTGAGATCTGCCAGCTGGCAAGTCTCTTCGCCGCCCATGCGGCCTTCAGCGGGCTTGGGCTGAGTCACCCTTCACGCTGGAATAAGTTGGGAGGTTCAACCAGCCGAACTGGGAGCCGTCCCTGACAATCTTTGAAAGAGTTGTCCAAGTTTGTAGTTGGAAATAGTCAGGAATGGTCAGCTCGATAAAACACGTCTGTCCAGCTAGAGCAAGCCTAAAAGCTGGGAGGCAAGAAGAAGAGGCATGGTTTAACAAATTGCAGACTCAGTCCATCTGCTGACAGATGGAGTTAACTCATTCCTGGCTGCTGTTTCTACTGGTATGGAGAATTATTGGTGCTCTGAAATCCATACATCTAGAGGTCATCAGGTTGAGAAAGGCTGACAATTCTCTTGAGGTTTAGATTGGGGAGTTTACCAACTCCCATGGACATATCGATTATTGATCCTGGAATATTTTGCATAAATATAAAGTTTAAAAGTTTAAAAAATAGTAGTCTAGCCAGAGCTTTGGATCTTTTGTGAGAGGTCACTGTGAAAATGTCTTATTCTTAATCCTGAAATATTTTTTAAAAGTTTAATTTTTTATATGTTAAGTGCGCGTTCACATTTTTGTTTTGCACTAGGTGAACCAGTTGTTAAATTATGTGAAGTCCACCTCTGGTTATCTTCCATAGTCTTCTTAAAAATTGAGTGTGAATAGATTGCTCTGTACATTTGGCCACTGAAATAATACTGAAAGCTGAATAGACCAAATTTGCTGTGGTAGGAGAAACTCACAAAAGAAAAATCAAATTTAAAAATGGACTGGATCTGCCCAGGAACTGCAGAGAAAAATAATTTTTAAAAATTAGAAAGAATCTTTTGGGGGAAGGCAGTTTGAAAAGATTGGAGGACGGTTACAATCTAACCCATCATCCAGAACAAAGCTACTATTAGGAGGTGCCCTTCATCTACCACCCCACATTATCCAGATATTCAGAACATGTACTCTTCTGATTTATGTACAGTATTATGGGAAAGCAGAACTGAGTATCACCAAAACAGCAATGGCATCTGTATTAAAACTTCTGATGGCCAATCCAGTTATAATTACCAACCATTTATCTAAGTCACTTAGCAGAACAGATTTACAGGGGAATATTCATTTCAATGACATTTATTTTCATTTTGTAGGAAGTTAGCACCCACCTCTCTCCTAGAAGAATGAGATATTTTAGAAAATGTTAAAAAGGCAGAATATTATATTTCCCTGGATGAGAAAAGGAGAAACATGTTTTAAAGACAAAGCAGCTCCCTGCAGCTCTCTGCCCCACCCCCCACTTGTCAATGGGCCATTAAGGCCTGAGCCAGTCAATTCTACATAACAAAGAACTATCTACTTCAGGCAGAGCCATAATAGGAATCCCAAAGCCCTTTCGTTACATCAGACAGCAAGGCTCAACCAAGCCTGGGAGGGAGACAGTCTACAAAGTTAGCTAAGACCCCCGCCCCCTGGGAGTCTGACCACCAATCGGAGTGCATTTCTTACACAGGAACAGGAAGCTCTAGGGTGGGGCCCAACAGAGGGCATAAAACCAAGGCACTTTCAGCATCTCTGCCCTTTTCTGCTCAGGAACTCAAGCCATGTGATCCTGTCCACCATTAAACCATCTTTCCAAACAGTTTCCATGTTTCCAATGTCTTTTTCCCCACTTGGAACTGAACCCAGATGGAAATTTCTTCTAACGATTTGTTTTTCTGCCTTTTGTACCTCAAAAAAAGATTTGTATTTCTGTTACAACCAAGAAAAAAATTGCGATGAGTAAGGTGACTTAGATCTAAGGTGCAAAATTCAGTAGAGGCAACCCTAGTACTGATCTTACCTTTCTGGCTGCTTGTTTTAATATTTAATGTATTCAGTATTTTTAATATTTTCTATCTATACAATTTTAATTGTAAGCTATCCAGAATTGCTTTTCAGAGAGAGATGAGAAGCATATACATTTAAGTATTTTTAAAAAAAACCTAGAAAACAATAATAATAAAAAATCTACCAGGGATTTATTGTTATTTATTTATTTATATCTCACCTTTATTATTTTTATAAATAACTCAAAGCAGCAAACATATCGAACTTTCTTCCTATTTTTCCCACAACAACCTTGTCAGGTGGATTGGGTTGAGATGAGTAACTGGCCAAAAGTCATCCAAGCTGGCTTTCTTGGCACTCTCCCATTTGGCCTAGAAGATGTCTAAATTCCCATCCAAACCTGATTCTAACCAGAAAAACATAATTATTTTTGAAAAATTTATTGTTACAGAGAAAGAATGCCTAAATGAAAAGAAATTACAAACTATTCTTTTTTGCCATACATTCCTATCCACTACTGGTCTGGTTTATATAAACTATCAACTGCAATTCTCAACTCACAAGTACACTTCAATGAGTTCAGTGGGATTCACTCCTATATGATAATAAAGTGCTACAGCTTAAGATACATATTGAATATATCATAGGCAATTCCATGGCCTTCTTGCAGATACTTTTAAAAATAATTTCTACAGAAAAAAATCATAACAGATTGCCTTGAAGTGATGCAGGCTAGAGATCTAACATTACATTGCAACTTCTGACTAAGAACAGCTCATCAAGATTTCCAGCAGAATTCCTTTCTAAATCAGTTACCAAAGATGCATTCAGCTAGAAATGCTACGGACTGAACATGGGACCTTATATACATAAAGCATGAACATCTGTTATTTTCCCACTTGATCTTTTAAGTAATCAATAACATTTAAAAGACAAAGCAAAACAAAATGGACGTTGGTCTTACCTGATACGTCCATTCTCGTTGTAGGGAAACGTCTGTCACTCTGGGGTTCGACGTTCCATGCAGCATGTGACCGAGTCCTATAAATTAACATAGCTCCGCCCTCTTGGCCCAGTGTTTCGGCGAGGGCGTTGCGTAGACTGACGTGTCTCCCTAGAACGAGAAAGAATTAGTACACCTCCCACCCCTTAGACCCATCAGGGAAGGCGTGACAAACGTTTCCCTACAACGAGAAGGGACGTATCAGGTAAGACCAACGTCCATTCTCCGTAATGAGGGAAACGTCTGTCACTCTGGGGACATACCAGAGCTGAATGTCCTCCAGGGCGGGAGAAAGAAAAACCGGATCTGCCGAAGTCACGGGCGATGAACCGCCTGCAGGACCCAACAGCCAAAAGCAGCGTCTGATGAGGCAAAGGAATCCACCCGGTAATGCCTGATGAACGGCGTGAGAGATGTCCAAGTGGCCGCAGGACAGACTTCTTCCAATGGAGCGCGGGTAACCCAGGCTGCAGAAGTTGCGGCACTCCGGGTGGAATGTGACGTAATTCGAGGAGGAACCAGCAGACCGAGACGCTGGTAAGCCGTCGCGATGATGGCCCGAAGCCAGCGGCCCAGAGTAGGTCCCGAGACCCAAGTACCAATGGAGTCCGACTGGAACGATACAAACAGGGCTTCCGTCTTACGGAAAGAGCTTGTCCGCGAAATATAAATCTGGAGGGCTCGTCGTACGTCCAGAGTGTGCCAGGAACGTTCGAGGTGATGAGACGGACGGGGACAGAAGTTAGGGAGGACCAGTTCTTGAGATCGATGAAAAAGGGAGTTCACTTTGGGGAGAAAGGCCGGGTCAAGGCGGAGAACCACTCTGTCCTTGTGGAAAATACAAAGGTGCTGGCGAATGGAGAGAGCTTCCAACTCTGAAATACGACGAGCCGAGGTGATCGCCACCAAGAATAACACTTTGAACGATAGAAAATGCAAAGAAACCTCGCGGAGAGGCTCAAACGGAGAATCCATAAGAGCCCGAAGGACAGAATTCAAATTCCAGGTAGGAAACCTGTGGACCACTGGAGACCGCAAATTAGTCGCTCCACGCATGAAAGTCCTGATGAGCGGATGACGGGCGAGAGAGTCTTTAGATCCACACGTTAGGACCGTAGAAAGAGCAGCCACCTGCCGGCGCAGGGTAGAGGGGACCAAACCAGCATCAAAACCCTCCAGTAGAAAGGAAAGAACTGCAGTGACAGAAGCAGTGAGAGGATCTACTGTGTTCCGCCGACACCAGGAAGAAAAAGCGGTCCATGTCGCCTCATAGATGCGCGTGGTAGAACCACGGCGGGCAGCCTGCATAATGGAGATGACTCGCGTAGGAACGCAGGCATTGGTCAGAAGGCGCCGCTCAGCCTCTAAGCGGTCAATTGGAGGCTCGACGGATCCGGATGCTGGAGCGCCCCCTGGGAGAGAGAGAGAGAGGCTCGAGGAATGCGCCATAGAGCTGCTACCGACAGGGAGCGGAGATCCGCATACCACGGTTGACGAGACCAATGCGGGGCAATGAGAATCAGTTCTGCCCTCTCTTCCAGGAGTTTCCGAATCACCTTCGCCAGAAGTGGCAGAGGGGGGAACGCATAGAGGAGGCCGGAAGACCAGGGACTGCGGAGAGCGTTCGTGGCTTCCATCCGAGGATCCGGATAGCAGGAGAAGAACCAAGGAACCCAGCGGTTCGATGAGGAGGCGAACAAATCGACAACAGGCGTCCCAAACCTGTCGATGATCTTCTGAAATAGGGCCTGTGGAATGCTCCATTCCCCGGGATCCAGTATGTGGTGACTGAGGGCATCCGCCTGAATGTTTAAGGCCCCCGAAAAGTAGTCTGCTCTGAGGGACCGGAGGTGACGTTCGGCCCATAAGCCCAGACGCAGAGACTCCGTTAGAAGCAACCGGGAATGAGTGCCCCCCTGCCTGTTGATGTGGGCCTTTGTAGAAATATTGTCCGTCAGGACAAGGAGGTCCTGGCCCTCCATGAGATGCTGAAAATGAAGGAGAGCTAGACGGACCGCTCGCAGTTCCAAAAAATTGATGTTGTTTTGACGTTCTCGCACCGTCCAAAGGCCCTGGGCCTCATGGTGAAGAAGATGGGCCCCCCAGCCCAGAAGGCTGGCATCTGTCACCAGCGATAGGCGGTGAGGTTCCCGAAAGAAGCTGCCTCGTGCGATGGCGTCTGAAGTCCACCACCGAAGGGAAGCAGAAACTTGCGGGGACAACCGAAGAGGACGAGAGAAGAACTGCGGCCGGCCCGTTGGAGAGGGAGCAGAAACCACTGGAGCTGTCTGCTGTGTAATTGAGACCAGGGAACTATTCCAAAGGTGGAGACCATTTTGCCCAATAAACGGGAAAGCTTTAGTGCTGAAGAAGAACCCTCCCCCAAACACTGAGACGCTAGAGAAGAAAGACTGACCTGGCGCTCTGGGGAGAGAGAAACTATAGAAGAAACTGTGTCAATAGAAGCCCCCAAGTGGATAATACGGGGACCAGGGATAAGCTGGCTCTTGTCCCAGTTAATCGAGAAGCCATGAGCCTGCAAAATGGATAGGACAGAAGACAAATCCTGCTGGGCCAAACAGGAAGAAGAGGACAGAACCAAAATGTCATCTAAATAAAATTGCAAACGTATAGAGAGGGTCCGAATATGCCCAATGAGGGCGGCCATAATCTTAGTGAAGACCCTCAGAGCAGAAGAAAGACCGAAGGGGAGAGCCCTATACTGGTAATGCCGTCCTAAAAAACTAAAACGGAGATACTGACGGTGGGAAGGAGCAATACGTATGTGAAGGTATGCCTCGGTTAAATCTATAGAGGAGAGCCAATCCCCTGGGTGAATACATTCCAAAATGGTGGACAAAGAATGCATTTTGAACCGACGGTAAGTAACATACCGGTTCAAAGCCTTCAAATCTAAGATGGGACGCCACACACCCCCTCCCGAGGACTTCTTAACAAGAAACAAACGGGAATAAAAACCCTGGCCCCACTGCTCCCGAGGGACTTCCTGGATGGCCCTAATGTCTAAAAGATGGGAAATAGCCGAAGACACCAAGGCCCTCTTAGCGACATCCCGGGAAACGGGACAGGGAAGAAAAACAGAAGGAGGAGGGGAAAGGAACTCTAGATAAAGTCCGGACCTAATGGTAGACAGGACCCAGGCATCAGAGGTAGAAACCTCCCACTGATGGAGAAAAAGAGACAAGCGTCCCCCAATGGGAGCAGAATTAGCGGGATCTACGTTGGAAATGACCCCTGCCCCCCCGGAAGGAACGCCTAGGAAAGAACCTGTTTCCCTGTCTAACCTGGTTGTCCTGGGAGTGGAATCTCGCAGGAAAGGGACATTGGAAGCAGTGTTGGTAAGTACCCGAGTCGGGAGCATGAAAGGACTGGTTCCGTGGGAGAGCTGAAAAACAAGAATCAGAGCGTCTGGAAACCAAAGGAAGAATCTTACGTCGGTCTCTCGTCTCCACAAGAAGAGGTTCCAATGGAGGTCCGAACAAAGAGCCTGCAGTATAAGAAGCGGAAGCCAGTTGCCACTTGCTTCGCATGTCGGCATTCCAGTTGCGTAGCCACAGGAGACAATGCGAAGTCACGTTAGAACTTAGGGCTTTTGCCGCAAATCTAGTCACGTTAAGAGTGGCGTCCGCTGAATACTCAAGGGCTGCTGCGATTTTGTTCAAATCCTGACGAGACCGCGAGTCGGAAGGCTGAATACGGTCCTGAAGCTGCTTGATCCATAACAGCGCGGCTCTGTTGAAAAACGAGGCCGATGACGAGGCCTTGATGACCCAGGCAGCCGCCTGGTGCCCCTTGACCAAAGTCTTCTCAGCCCTGCGATCTTCCAGACGCAAAGAGTCCTCGGGAGGACCAGCGGGATGAGAGGAATTGCACAGAGCCACTATTGGGGCGTCCACCGGAGGAGGCTGCAACAAATCCGCCAGGGTGGGAGCAGAATTGTACAGTCTCTTGTCAAGGCTATTTGGACTAGGGCCAGCCCCTGGTAAATTCCACTGGCGTTGAAGTACATCCAAGAAGAGCTTGGGAGCCGGGATAGTGTCCAGGTCGACCGCAGGCTCCGCAAAGACAGCCGAAGCTGGATCAGGAATAACGGGATCCGGTGGAGCAGAAGAAACATTGCCCAGACGAGTAGTCACTATTGCTTTACGTAACAATGAACGAAAAAGCTGCGGCTTGAAAAGCCCAATGAAAGGAGTTTGATCAGAAACCGGTCCCTCGTCATCGGATAGGGCCGAATCAGGAACCTCATCCAACTCAGACAGAGAAGCGTGGTCCGGAGAAGCAACGGAATCCGCCGGATCTAGTTCAGACACAGAATCTCCGGCTGGGTCTGGTTGATGATGTTGCAAAAGACGAGGTTCAGGATCGGGATTGCTTTGTTGTAGACACTGGGCAAGTCCTTGTTTAATGACCCTAGCCAGCATAAGCTCAAAGGCCTCTGGAATGGGTGGAGCAAACACCACAGGAGGAGCCAAAGGGGTTGGGTCGTCCGTGACTGTCCCCTGGGGAGCCTCAGTATTAGGAATTGTTTGAAACAGAGGCTCAGAGCCAGGTAAATGAGGCGGCTCAGCCGCAATGGAACCATCTGGCGAAAGCTCCTGGGCAGCACTAGATGCTAATGATGGAGCTGGAGACCGAGCCCTTGAGGAAACAACTGGCGCATTAGAATTGGCCTGTTCAACGTGAGACTGGGCTTTGGTAAAGGCCTTTTCGATGGCCTTGTGGCGCCGCTGCTCATCCTTAGAAATTGCAGAGGCAGGTTTGGTGGATTTGCCCCGATGGGACTTGGGCTGCTTAGGGGAGGGACCCTCCAACGGATCATCCTGAGCCGGTCTCTTTGAAGCTCTGCTCGAATGTTGTGAGGCAGATTGATGTTTAGCCGCCATTTTAGGAGTCGCAGCAAGCAAGCAGGTCAAAATGGCTGCTGACACTAATAGCTATTTGCCGCCGCTGTATTGAAACGGAAAAGGGGCCAAAACCCAGCTCTGAAGCCTGTAGCAAGGATCACTGGGTCAGCGATCCAGGCGGCAATAGGAAGATCGCTAGCTCAAGGCTATTACTGCGATCGCGGCTAAGAAGCAATCCGGGCT